CGTCAACGGGTAGAGGCCCCTAGCCTCGCCGCGACCTAGGGTGCTCAGAGGCCTGTTTGCTCCACACGGCCCGGCCTGAGAGCCGCCAGCAGGAGCCGGGAAGCACTGTGCTGCCCGTGCTTGGCCAAAACCGTGTTAGAAGTCATGTCCTGCCTGGTAGAAGGGGTTGCTGTTCTGTAACGCGACGTTTCTTTTTTATAGGTGCTTAAAGATGAATTCCAAGACCGCCAAAGATATAATTATTGGCAAGTGGGGCTTAAAGTCGGGTAGCTCCAGACCTGAGAGTGATCTTGAGAAGTACAAGCAGGAGAATGCTGCCGTGAGAAAATCAATGGAGGAAGTCATTAAAGGGAAAAGCAAAATGACTGATCCGGAAAGGAACGGGCTCCTAGAGGTGAGGTGAATGTTTGTACTTGAGCTAACGTTTAGGATGTCCAAATTATGCATAGTTAACGTCAGTCTGAGTATGTCCAACTTTGTAAGCAGGATGCCAATCTTTCCTCTTAAAACTTAGTTGACTTTGATGTCACTAGTGGTTTAGTTTGACATTTTTGTTCCCAAATATTTTTTAATAATGACTGAACTAATAAAATTACAATCATCTGATAAAGCTGTTAAATACAAAGACCTGAGACTGGAAGTGCCCATTACTCCATTAAGACCTGCCCTCACGTGTCCAACTGTGAGCACTTCCAGCAAAGAACATTATGTTTGCAAACAGTTGCCTAAGAACATGCCAAAAAGTGCTGAGCATTTGCTTGAACTATATTCTCAACCTCCTATTTAGCTATAGGTAAAGAAAACTGTAATCGATTCACCACATTATTCTTCCATTATACGCAAAGAGCAGAAAGTAAGACACTGCAATTTCTATGCCTTGTAGTCCATTCAAGGTAAACCTATGGTTGCAGAGAAACAAGTACAAGACTTGCTATGTGACCAAGTCGCATACTGTCAGGCTTCCCAAAAGGACTGGGAAACTTTAAATGGACTCTTTCGAAGGATACAACTAATGGAGACTAGACACGCTAGTGTTTCTAGGCTACTTCTTTTGACAATAAGGCTTTTCATGTGTCTGTGCTACAATATCAGCTGAGAAGTGCTAACCCAAGTACCAGCTATGGGCAGACAGCTCATGTGCTGTTGTGGCTAAATTCCTTAGTGCATTTGCTGTGTCTGGTGGAGTTTGCTGCTTGCTCAGCGTTGGTTACTTAATACTGCGTTCCTACTTTACAGGTGGAAAACTACAGGCATGTTTAGATATAGTAGGTACCATTTGGTGTCAATATTTTACTTCTAGTGATCACTGTGTGGTCTTCAACCACTCCCTAAATGAGGCTCTCTAAAATTCAATTTCTTTCAATTCACTGTCATCTTCTAATGACTAGATGTCAGCACGTAGGATTTCAACATCAACTTTTCTCATGGAAAGTGAAATGCTATCATAACAGAAGTTTATGTAGAGCCCCAAGCAATCTCAAATACAGTACTAATGCTATGTAATAATTACCTGTGCTGGAGGCCTACTGAAAAGAGAGTGCCTGTTGAAAATATCTACTAAAGCACATTCTGAAACTGAAAGACCAGATAACTTGGAAAACAGGATCCTTTTCCTGAATGCTTTAACTCCTTTATAACTTCACTTATATTGTTTAGTTTTCAAGAAGGCTGCTGCTTCTCAAAAGCTACTAAATATGCTAACCAACATTAAATGTATCGCCAACTTCTTCACTGGAAGTGTTTTAGAGCTCTTATACTGCTTGTGTTTTAAGGTTCGTATACTGTAGTGATTTGTATTCATATACAAAACTGAGTACCTACCAAGTCTGTGAAATTTGGTTCATTGCATTCTTTCCTTGTTTCATCTACTTCAGACTGTTTTTATTATCACTTGAAATATTTCAGATGATCACTGTGGTATTGCCTATTTTGAGTAAAAAGTAATATTCTCAGCTAATTAAAGGCTAAGAGAGAACCTTTCAAAGTGAGTATCTTCCCAAGCTGTTGTAAACTTGCTAATGCATTTGTTGAATAGACTGACACTTACTAATTTGTGTCACTTTTTTATTCTGTTTTAGAAAATACTTTACCTTGAAAAAGAAAAAGAAAAACACAACCATCTTCTTGGAGAGAAGGACAAAGAAATCCAAAACCTGAAAGACAAGCTTAGGTCCAAAAAAAAGAGTAGTGAAGTATCCTTATTACAAAGTCAACTAGAGGAAAAAACAAAGGAAGCAGAAAGGAGAGAACAGTTACTTTGTTCTCTATCAGAAGAAATGAATCGTTTAAAATGTAATTTAGCTACTGTTACTGCAAAATGTTCTAAGGTTGAAAACAGAGCTGGTACTTTTCAGGCAACCCAGGTAAGCACTGAAGAAAGATTCTAATTGCAAATTGCAAGTCTAAGCTGTAAACACCAATTCTAACTCGCTAAGCACCAATATCTGTTATAAAATTGGATGGATATTTAATCTTCTAACAAGTTGTGTTGCATGCTGAAATATTCTTCTATGAAGAGAGATGGTATCCACGTTGAATAAAGAACAGTCTGGGAGCACAACTTCAGGCAACACAGCTGGGGACGTCATTTTCTAATGCCGTACTGCAAGGTCCCTTTTTCAAGCTCACATGCAGGGGGCATGACTGGAGGTACTACAATAATGATCCACTGTTGCTTAAGCAGATATTATGCCCTTCTCTGTTTTGTATGCTCAGTGATTAAACAGACTGAGAAGGCAGCAGTAAAACAGACATGGGGTATTAATAAAGACAAACTAAGCTCCTCACCTAATTCAGCTTCAGTCATGAGAATATCTTTCTTCTCTCTGCTCTTATGAATCTGCATTTGCTCCTTGGTTGTTAAAACTAGTTGCCTGTACTTTGCGTGGTATCATACATGGTAAATACTTCAATGTGACAGAAGATAGGACAGGAATAACGAGTTGCTTCTCATTTAAAGTGGTTAATAGGTATGGTGCCAGGTACTTGGCAGCTTTTACAAGTGCATTTAGTTTTCTACAGTTGTTTTTCCACCCTGGCTGTTCTAATGTTCCACAGAAAATGCAGTAGTATCTCCGTAAGGGACACAGGGAAATTCGTGCCTAAAAATAGGTGCCTATAAGTCTTTTCCAGCTTTTGACCTGCAGGTGGTGCTGCTTCTCCATGCACTACATGGAAGTTGAGTAATTTCTAGAAATTCAGCTTTAGCCAAATACATAGCAAAATATCTTCATCTACTAAATTTCAATGATAATACATATATGTATCAGTTCTAACAATGCAACATCTTGGGAAATACCACTTTAAAGGCAACATGCTTATTTTCAGTTTCAAGAGGCTTTGAACTTTGAAGAATGTAAAGTGTATATTAATTCAACACATTTCCATGATATTTTTGTCAATGAACTACCAAAATATCTTTTAGTTTAAAACCAGAATTTTCTTTTAAATTTTGTACTGATTTATCGACAGAGGACAAGATGTGACTGATGTTTTGACTGGATGTCTTTGAAAACTTGAAAACAAGTCTAGCAATCCTGCTTTAAACTGCTAGGTGGCAAATGAGCAGCAGATATACTCTGAAATAGAAACAACAGTTGTATGACATAATTTTGAGAAAGTTTTCACTGAGGCAGAATTCTAATGTTTGTAGAAATAGGAATCTGAGCAATTGTAATGTCTCTAAATCCTATTTTTATTAGGAAGTGCTAAAGTCTAATAATTGCATTCAAAGTTCTCCTGTATTTTTTCAGTTGTTCTAAATCATGTTTCAAAAATCACAAGAGAACTTTGGGAAAAATGTAGCTTGGATTTGGGTAGTTATCTACATCTTTAAGGAGATAAAGTTCCTTCTGACTTATATCTAGACAATTCAAAAAAGCTTTCTATCATGCAGTGAATAAAACATGTCAGATTATGAAAGAAGTATAACTGTTTAACTGGTCTCTAGTTTTAGATGGGTCTAAGAACTACAACTCCTACTTTAAGCACTCGACTGTGGATCAAGTCTCACAAAATCAGTCAGTATGTCCTCATGGTTCCAGACAAGTCTGCATTGCTTCCCAGATGTTTATAATCTTCCTGTTATCCCAATGAAGTTGTCCAGGCCTTTAGCTCCTATAAGTGTGGCTTATTGTCAAACCAGTATGAGGATAAGAAAATAGAACAAACACTTACCTTTTTTGTGTATTTAAATGACACCCTAAATACGTTCATTTTTCAGAAGCTCTCCTGTACCCTTCAGGTCTTCCAAGATAGCTGTTCAGCAGAAAACACATGATAGCCTTCTTAAGAAATGTTTTTAATATACCGCAGTGAGTTATGAGTTGCAGAGTTATGGAATAAATTAAATGTAAATCTTTTTCCTGTATCTTGCAGGAGATTTTTCTTTTAAATCTATGAAATGGTTTTCTACGTAACTTAGATCCTTTTAAAAAAAAAAAAGGACTATAAAGATATTTAAACACAAAAGGCACCTGTATGCATCTGTTTTCCTTTTTAAAAAAATATTCATATGCAATTTATGTGAGTTTAATAGTTATACAGGACTAGTTTTACTGTTTCAGCCATTTAAAGACCACTGACAGGTT